CCACCCAGGAATCCCTGAATTACATTAAAATCTACAGGCTAATTTAAGTTTGCTTTCATCTGTTTGTATTTTGTGTTTGCATGTAAGCTTATTTCTACATCCCAAGGTCCTCAAGTGGAGAGATGTGTCATCTCACTTTATAGAAATTCCTATAAGAATGAACAATGAAAGAAATAATTTTTTATCAAACACTAATTTCTTATGTTATTGAGAATGGTGTTAACAACTTAAATAATTTATTCATTAAATACTTGGGATTGTACTAGATCAAGTGTTGAATAGCCAATTAATAATCTAACCCACCAGAGTGATCAGCTCTTTTTATTGATATTTTTGCCTTTCCACGTAAAAAAAATTTTTTTTTCTTAAGACGCTTCTGTCTGCCCATTTAAAATTTACATCTCTTCACACTTCATGATGAGTTTTGTTACTTCTTTCCTTGGAGTAACCTAAGGAATCCCATGTGAGCACATGAATTAGAGTTCCAGTTCCAGTAACTATTACACAGATTATTCCAAAAATAAAATAAAGAACTTAAATTTTAAGTTATTTTTTTCCTTACATGCTGGAGTTTATAAAGGCATCTTGCTACAAATCCTTAATATAAGAAACTTATGATAGTGGTAAATCCACAGTAACACATAAGAAAACTCTTTTTACTAGACTATACTCCTATCTGCTCTAAGTGGATTATGTATCGTTAGAGTGGACTGAAGAAAAGAAAGAGGGGCTAGGTCATTTGCTAGATCATGACATTTTCTATTTAAATCCCTCTTCAAATATTGTCTAATAAAAATATGTAAATTGAAACTTCTCTGGGTGCCTGGGTGGCTCAGATGGTTAAGCGTCTACCTTCGGCTCAGGTCATGATCCAGGGTCCTGGGATGGAGTCCCGCATCGGCCTCGCTGCTCAGCGGGGAGCCTGCCTCTCTCTCTCTCTCTCTCTGTCTCTTATGAATAAATAAATAAAATCTTTAAAAAAAAATTTAAAAAATATGTAAATTGAAACTTCTCTTTCTCTAGGGAGATATAAACTAATCATATTGCTTTGAATTCCTTTTTCCCCAATAAAGTAAATATTTTTATCATTAAGATTGGCTTGACAGTATTCAAGAAATAATAATATTATCATGACTTATATGGAAGTCTTATAATATGCTAAATTAACCTGTCTGTTGACTTGTACTTAGAAATGGAAGAATCTGAGGACTTCAGAATTTTCTCAAGGATATAGCTAATTAGATTAAAAAAAAAACAAAACCAGCATGAATTAGGAATATGCCAAAAGGCAGCTCAATGTAGTGATAGAATGTAGTAATTCAGCATTACCTTAATGCCTCAGTGACAATGGCAAATGCCTAGCTGCTGTGAAATTATTACTGCTTTTGTACAATAAATTTTGATGTTTGAATCATATCTAAGATTAATATGTAGTCTGGTCCAAAGCACACAATTTTTTATATTCCAACAACCTCAATATGCCTGGTATAAGAAAAACAGATATAAAAGGATAGTCAAAGACATGTTGGCAATATAAAAACTAAGTTATATGAGATTTTTGTTCCTTTTCAAAAGTCAGTGTTTAAGTAATAAACTGTTAATGCCTTTCGCTACAAACAAAACTTGCCCAGTGTTTGTATATTTAGAAATATTAAATTAATGAAAACTTGATTGGATTCAGAGATATTGAAAAACTGAGTCTCCCCACATTGAGCTAAAGTGCCTAGGTGAATTTAGTAGCGCTCCCTTTCACTGGAAGTCCTGTGGTTTTATTTGTGCATGGCAGGGACCATTCCAGATTGTCCTACCTTTTTCTTATTGTTCAGCCCTTTTCTTATCCTTTTATTCAAGGTCAGTAAATGCCAGGTAGATCAACAGTAGAAAAAGGATAGTTTTTTTAATGTACTTTTTAATTCTTAACCTGAATGGTTGGTACTAGCTGGGTTTGTTACAGAGCTGTACATTAAAGCTCTTCTCTTTCTATTGTTGTGTCTGTAATATCGTCCCATAACCTTGCTCAACGTTGCCCTTCAGTAATTACTGAAACTTTACCCCCTGTATTGGTGTCTGCAGGGACATCTGAAAATTTTACATGCAGACCACCTCCAATACAGAACTCAATTTTCTTTTGTTAGAGACTCTCCTTGGGTGGTACTAATCATGAAGCCCTCTCCCTTAGGGCTTTCTTCTTTGTTTTTTTTTTTTTTTTTTTCTGTGTAAGAACACTTTTACAAGGGTCATGATGGCAATGGTATATAAAATTTCTTTCAGATTTCCCTGCTCTGTAGTGCTAATTTGGCACTTTTTCCCCTTTCATAATAGACTACTGTGGTCTTGTTTTTCAATTAGAATTTTCTGATTAATTCTTCATGATTTAGAGTATCTTTATCTCTTCAAGGAATCTGATTCAGTTAACCTAGAGTAACCTCAATTTTGTACACAACATAAGTAATGTTTTATTTACTTCTACCTTTTAATACAGTCATGCTTAGATGATCTTTTTCTAGTAACCTTAGGGGAGCTTTAAAGGAAGATTTAGGTAAAACATTGTAAGAGCAGAAAGCTAATTGGAATCTCAATAAAAAAATTAATAGCCATATCCTACAACAATAAAGAGGTCAAACAAATCTCCAATGTATTTTGCCAGCAATACATTTGCATTAGAATAAATCAATAGAAGGTAATATAACAAATTAATTTAGAAAGGTTGAATTGGTTTGTTAACCCTTATATTACCAAGGATGGATGCTGCTGGCAGAAATAAAACTGGTTTTACCATAAAATTGGTCTTATGCCTGCTTTGTACTGAAGTTTTGCAGACCACAAACATCTTTATCACATATTCTTTCTTTCATTTATTGGTTTATGTTGGTTCAAAACCCCAGGAGCTTCCCAGGAGAAATCTGAAATGGGTTCCCATACACAGTGGGCAGGGAGAGAAGAAAGAGGCAGGCCACACCAGATTAGTAGGTGGCAGGTTTAATAAGCAGGGGCTTATTAAGACAGCAATTGCACTACTGGGTATTTACCCCAAAGACACAGATGTAGTGAAAAGAAGGGCCATATGC